GCATAAACACATTTCATTACACCAAATACACAAAATAATGTTCTTTTTAGCAGCATCATATCACCCCTTTAACAATAAACTAAGCTAATCTCTTTCCTCATAAACTGTCTCTGCTTCTATCTTTTCCAACCTTGAGCTGCTTTCTCTGTTTAAAAAAAAAAAAAAATCTTGTGTTGCACCTTAAAGGCATTAAATATTAAGGTCCATTTGATTTGCCTTAGAAACAGCCAAGGCTCTGACCCTCATGAATATAAATAGATAGAATTCTTAGCCCATCTCACTATCTGTTTCCCCCTCTCTCTCTCTTTCTCTCTTTACTAGCTCTCACTCTCTTAATGAAAGGAATAAGCCCTCATTTCCTCATCTCATCATACTGTAATGTGACAACTCTGCTGTGGTGAGACGCCTGGGGAGAAACACTTTACCTGGAATGAGCATGCGAGCGTGTGTGTGTGTGTGTGAGAGACAGAAACCAAGAGAGAATATGTGTGACCATGTGTGCATTGCACCTCAATGAAAAGCTATTCCCCAGCAGGCTTGTAATATGTATCCGGCTTGCACCATACCATCTGTACAGAGTGAAGTCTTTTCATCTGCCAGAGCTCCAGCACAGCTCAGAGCAGAGGACACCAAATTATGGAAAGTTTCCAGAATGTCAAAATGACCTTTGTGGGTGTAAACGGTCACATATAGAGCTCAATGATAGTCTCACTTAGCCAGACTGGTCTGAAAGTCTGGTCCACCAAGAACAGCCCACTTTGACAGAAAAAAAATAGCCTGACCATCATGTAAAGTGATGGTGTGATCATGTTGTGATGGTGTTATTAAGGGGGAAGTTAATACAAAATAGCTAGAACCACAATAACAAACCAGCACAGTAAAAATGTTTTAAATTATAGCACAACTGTGTCGGCCAATAACTGGCTGAAAAATCCACTGTAAAAAAAAAAAAAAGAAAAAGAAAAAAAAAGAAATTGTTCACCCCCAAATGAAAATGAACTCACCCCCATGACATTCAAGTAAATTAGTATATTTTTTTATTTTAACATATAATAATAATAATAATAATAATTAGTAGTAGTAGTAGTATAAAAACAGGATTATTATAGTTAACTAAAACTAAAACCATGCATCCATGAAAAGGCAACATTTCTCATTAGCTATTGTTTTCTTATTTCTTCTTCTTCTTATTAAAAATATATGAAATATATAGAAAATTAAATAAATTCATGTTTCTATATTTTTTTCTATGATGTTTATTCAGTTGATATTTATAAACAAAAAATATAAGTTTTTATTTTATTCATATTTTGTATTGTTATTAATAAACAAATCTTAAAAATATCAACTGTTTTGTATATAATATATAACATATTTAAAATATTAAATATGTTAAATATTAAAATATAGTATGAACATATTTATCTAAAATGCTAAAAAGCATGGTTATTATAGTTAAAACAATCCATAAAAATAATAATGAATAACAAAAATATTTATAAATAAATAATAATAATAATAATAATAATAATAATAAACATTAAAAACTATATAGACATAATAAAAAAATAACAATAAATATGGCAAAACTAAATTACTAAAACAGATGTAGCCAGCAGTGACCAAATGTCCCCACAAGGAGAGTAAAACACCACCATGATGAAATATGTAGAGTCTGCATATTGTATACAGACAGCTTACCCTGTGCTGTTGAGGTAGTTTTGCCCTTGGCTGCAGCTTCGAGACAATGTGGAAGGGTTGAACCAAAATGCAGGCAAACAGTTTCCATCCCCTCTTCTATCAAAACCATAATCACTACAAAACAAAACAAAAAAGAACAAACATTTCACATAAATAACATTTCTTAATTTTGACTCGTTTGAGATATCAATCCATCCATAATAACATAAATTCACTCCAGGTATGTTTGACTAGTTTCATACAAGGTCATCGCAAGTTCAAATCTCATTTGTGACATTTTCTAATGCCGTTCCCTGATGCCTATCCTGTAAAACATTCTCCAAACTACTTGTACATCCTTTCATTCATGCATAGCGGCACATCTTGTATTCAAGCATGTCCCTCTTTTATGCCCTTGAGACAATTGCAGCCATTGAGATATATTAATTCTGGGATGACAAATGTCTTTTCTGCTCTGAGAGCTGCAGGCATCAACGTATGTCCTTAACGTCTTTCAATTCTCTCTTCTCCCAGAAGCCCTGGAACCTGCTTAAGTGAATGTCTGTTCATATATCACCGGTGACTTTGATTTATCAATTAATTACTGATCCACAACAAAACCCAGCAGACCACATGGCCCCTTTTGGCATCACACATTTGGGTTTTTAATTATGAGCAGTTCCAATCCGGCACTTAGATAAGAGTCAAGCTTTAAAAGATAGCTGTGTGCTAGTTCTCAGATTATTCCCATACAAATGTAGTGTTGTTTTAGGTATATATGGGTGATTCTTTAATTAGTAACACTTTCATTACTTTTTTTTTTTTTAGATTTATTCAGTTGAAGAAAGTTTGCTGCCAACCAGCAGCAAAGGAAGGTATGGCTAGGTATCATCTATGTAAAAATGCTACAGAATATTATGCTTACGAAAAATTTAACTTAAAGGGATCACATTTAGATTTACATTTAGTCATTTAGCAGACACTTTTATCCAAAGCGACTTACAAATGAGGACAATAAAAGCAGTCAAAACTAACAAAAGAGCAACAATATATAAGTGCAAATGACAAGTCTCGGTTAGCCTAATGCAGTACACGTTATATATAAATTATGAAGTTCTTATTACAAAAATATCAAAGTAACATTCTTATCATTCTTGATATCTATTATTATCTATTATAATTTTTCATTAATATACCCTTAAAGTAGACTAATTACTTGCAAATATAAAATATATACAACATAAAAAATAAAAGTAAAAAACAATAAAAGTTAATTTAACTGAGAAAAATCACCCCTATATTAGTATTTGAACACTACCCTAATTGCACAGTGTAAAATATTAATGTTTGTATCATTTTTTTGTTTAAAAATAGGTAAAAACATACACACACAGGCCCGTAGCCAGCTATGAGGTCACAGAGGTTCGGACCTCTGTAATTTTTTTTTAAGTTCAAAAATAACATTGAATGAACTGAATGAGTAATTTTCTGTTTAAAACTCCTCATATGAATGTTTGCATGACATGTATAATTCAGTTTAGACAGTTTGTAAGAATGTTTATCGTCCGCGGTATGAAAATGATCGCTGCCAGACACTGGCGGAGTGAACGAGGCTTGAGAGAGTTGTGACTTGTGAGTGAGGGTGTGGGCGCAGCCTATGTGTTGCCAGTTCCAGCTATAATAAGCGTTTTTGGACTTGTCTTTTTCACTTCATTTGACACTTTAAAAAGTTAATCACGTGGGAAGTTTCACATTAGGGTCAGCGATATCTTTATCTTATCTTATTTGCAAAGATTTGAAATAATTTCGGTTATTTTTTTATTTATTTTTTATATTTATTTAGTTTTTATAGCAATATCTGGCAACACTGCATCGTCAGCACTTAAGCACTTAAACTATTCAAAAAAGCCCATGGATAGGTTACTGCTGACAGGATAGCACATTCGGTAAGGCAAACGCAAAAAAATATCATGATATTATCCATCAGAAATATTATCAACACTGTCAAAAACAGTAGCATTTAACACTAGTAGTACACAGATCTAGAACAAGTAGGTTACAGAATGAAATTACAATTTTCTAAAAACACTAGCTATGAAAAAGTCTATGCTATTTCATTCAGTAGGGTATAGAAGTAGTACATTTTCACAAAGTCATGCCAAAAACATTCATAAGAGCACTAGACAAAGTTATCAGCTATATGTGACCCTGGACCACAAAACCAGTCTTAAGTCGCTGGGGTATATTTGTAGCAATAGCCAAAAAACAACATTGTATGGGTCAAAATTATAAATTTTTCTTTTATGCCAAAAATCATTAGGATATTAAGTACAGATCATGTTCCATGATGATATTTTGTAAATGTTGTACCGTAAATATATCAAAACTTAATTTTTGATTAGTAATATGCATTGCTAAGAACTTAATTTGGACAACTTTAAAGGTGATTTTCTCAATATTTTGATCTTTTTTTTTTTTTTTGCACTGACAGATTCCAGATATTCAAATAGTTGTATCTCAGCCAAATATTGTCCTATCCAAACAAACCATACATCAATGGAAAGCTTATTTATCCAGATGTATAAATAATAAAAAAAAAAAATTAGTCAAAAAACCTTATGACTGGTTTTGTGGTCCAGGGTCACATATAGCAATGAATGTTAGCAAAAAATCTATAACAGTATTGTTATCGTTGCATGATTAATAAACAACTGATAAAATTATCCATCCCATAGTAAAATATTAACAAATTTTGATGCAATAAAGATGGTATAATTTAACAGTGTTCATCCCTCCAAACATCTACATGTCTGTCTCTTTTAAAGTGTTTAGTGTATATAATGAGTTGTTTTTGTAGGGGTTATTATAGCACAATTCTTAACCCCACCTCGGACCTCACTAATTTTCAAACCCTGGCTATGCCCATGCATGCACACAAACACACACACACACA